GACCACGTACCATATCTGATAAAATTTGGCGCTAAATGATTCAGTAACCGTCAATTTGTTCTAAATGACACAAATGCCCATTTCCTTCTTCTAAAACAGGACAAAGATTGTTTGCAAGTAGATTTGAGTCATTTATTCAACCTTAACAAATTTGCATTAATATGAAATGGTTTTTAGGTTTTACATTTTAAATTATTTTTTATTTTTAGATAAAATATCTGTTTTTTTGCATAAATTTTGTCAATTGATTAATATAATATATTTTATTTATATAAGTATATGTAGATTGAAATACTCGCGTATTATGTTCACATATAAATGTAAAAATGTTGATTATTTCTTTAAACAAAGAAAATGGTTGAAAATATTTTTAAGTAGGAAAATAAATAGTGAAGAGAGAATCGATCGAAATATCTGATATCTCCGAAAAATAAATTCGAACATACAACGTCTTTGAGAAATTAACCGGAGCATATGGCATTTTTAAACTCCTCATCTCTGACAACCAGTGTTTTGGCCAATCATGGTAATAACTTTCACGATAGAGAAGAGATCAACTAATCATGGTGCTCCGATAGAGAATAAAAGATGGCGTGCGATCGTCTCGTCTTCATGAAAATGTCAACTTACCCCAATGTCTTTCCAATTGTATTGTAGAATGATCCCATTCGAATGATACAAATAAATAATGTGGTTGCCCCGTTTCTATGAAAACACCAACGTAAAGTGATTTAATTGGAAAAGAAAGTTCCTTAGGTGTTTGATTGGGGAATGTGAGATTTCGAATGAAATTCACATTTTCATGTTGGTTGGTTGAAAATGTCATTCCTAATCTTATATTACTAATAGTGGATTTTTTGGGTATATTACTGGGAATGTCATTACCTCCATTCCTTAGGTATTGTTAAATTACCGGCGTTTTGGACTAAATGCCCGTAAATTTTTTTTCTTTTAAAAATATCCTTATTCTGTCATTCAATAATAAAAATTCTACGAATGTTAAATTACAAATTTATCCTTAAACTATTTTAGATTTACAAAAAAAATCTATAATTAAAATTTTATATGAAGTTCAGGGGTTAAAATAAAATTTTACTCTTTCATTAAACTATTTTATATTTTCAATTTTGTAAAAAAATTATATAAATTTTATGAATTTAAATTTTTTAAAAAATATATATAAATATTTTCCAAGTTGTTAAAAAAAAACAAATATAATAAGGACAATTTGGTCAAATATACATTCAAATAATCTTTTATTCCTTTAACCAAACCGGTAATCTTACATTACTGCTAAACCAACCAAACACAAAATACAACATTCCCAATAATGCTATTCTCTGGTAATCTTTTATTCTCACTGGTAATCTTATATTCCGTGAACCAAACGCACCCTTAATGTATTATCCGCCTCTTGACAAAATCTCTCATATAAATAAATAAATAAATAATATAAATATCATATCAATTATTTTAAAAATGATTAAATTAATCAATCAAACGATATGATGCACCACCATTCAATTGATTTGAAACTTAAAAGAAATAGAAAACAATTTGGTGGCATTCAAGTCACTTAACCAAACGGTATATTTTGATGTTTGTTTATAAAATTGAATATAATATATATATATATATATATATATATAATTTTGTTGGTATCGATATCGTATGATCAATGTCGATACTAAAATTAATAAAAGTAGTCTTAAAAATTATTTAAATTCAATTCAAAATATACATTTGATGTTAAAATGGATATTTAAAGCTCTACATGACGTTATTTTTATATATTTTTATTATATACAATGTTAATCAATTTATTTTTCAATAAAACACACGTAAAATATCTATTTGACCAGGGCCGTGGTTGACCCAACACAAACTGCACGACCACGTAGGCCCCAAAAAAGTATATATATAGTGGCGTTTTAAAAAAAATGTCATTATTATTGCGACTTTATTGATAAAACGTCATTACAGATAGATCTATTGCGGCGTTTGTCAAAAAAAACGTCAATATTGTTACCCCGAAATCAAATATATCTAAAAAAGAGGTCTCTTTATAAGAATTTATACAGGACCTCCGAAAACCTAACTACGACCCTGTATTTGACTCACATAACATCATATGTTCATATTTATGTTCCCGTTATAATTTCAAAAATAGAATCAGTGATCTAATTACTTTGGTTACAAGTACAAGTTTTACAGCATCGAATTAATTATGTAAATATTGTTTAATCCCATCTTTAAGTTATTGACATAAAAATTAACAATTTAACAATATATATGTTAAAATTTACAAAAGATCAATAACCAACGATTTATATATAATAAATTAATAATTTGACTTTGTGACAATCAAATGGTTATCCCTTGTTCTCATATGTAATGGGGTAAGGGAGGTAAGATAGTAGACTGTCCCCAACACTAAATTAAAAATAACTTCCGTGAAAAACCTTCAAATTATAAAATACCCAACTTCTAGACAAAAAATAGAGAAACAAATTTATTGAGTATGATAAAGTTGCGTTTTATGATATTATGATGTTAGATGACATTTCAGGTAGAGTGGATAAAGGGGAAAGAATGTCCTTAAGGCTGCGTTTGTTTGCTCGTTAATCAAAACAAACAACAGCTAATGTTGCTTTTAATGAATTAATTTTAAAAACAAAAACAGCCAAAAGTTAATTCATAGAATCTTCCTTTTAGATTACGGGAAAGCCAATTTATGAGCGTTGGATTAGATTCACTGAACAGTGGAGACATCCTCAAAATACACACTAGATCTTCTATTGGATATCTCGTATTCCTATACATACTTTCATCTCACGGCGCGTGCATATACTTGAGGTTTCAAAAATAAAATTACCTTATTCTTAAAATTATTTCGAATCTGATTTAGTTATTCTTGAGTTCAAACTGTTTGAGTTATTTAGTGAATTGAGTTTGAGTACGTCGATACTCGATTTGAAGAGATTCAATTTTGAGTTTCGATACAAATTATCTGTAGAAATCTAAATCTAACTTTGAACAATGAATTAATGTAAGTTCGATTATGATTTTCTCATTATTAAGTTTAACTCGGCTTAATTTCAACTCTAATATGATTTGAATTACATTTTCAATACAACAATTATAATGTATTAGATTAAAGTCTCACCAATATACATTTATAGTTTAGAATCTATTATAATCTAATCTAGATCTGTATATATTTTGTTTACCAATTTAATATATTATTTTCAGTCTATATTATTCGTTGGACTTAATGGGTGATAATGAGATGAGAAGAGGTCCCGTCTTTCAAAAACATTTAAAAAGCATCTGATTACTTAATTTTTTAAATTATAATTTATCTTTAAAATTTTTAAAATATTCATTAAATTTTAAAATTTTAATGCCTTGGAGCAATAGTCGAGAGGAGGTGAGAAGTAAACATTAATGCCTTGGAGCAATAGTGCTTTGGTCTGCCCAACATAAATAGACAACATTATTAGTATTTAATGTACATACCATTCCCTCTCCCCCCCTCTCTCTCTCTCTCTCTCTCTCTCGCATAAACATTAAGCAACAGCTTCAAAAGATTTGATCTTTTGGTTCAGTTTTAGGAGGGAAATCGGGAAAAAACACATTTTTTTTCTTATTTTCTATAAAAGAAAATCTATGTACAATCCTTAATTTCAAAAGAGTTGAGCTGCCATTGAAGACACCAGAGAAAAACAAACACAGAGAGTTGAAAGAATGGTGGAAATGTTTGCTGCTGAGAATGGACTCAAAGGAGACCCAAGGCTACAAGCTATATCTAACGCCATTAGAGTTGTTCCTCACTTCCCAAAACAAGGTTTTTTTTCTTTAATCCTTTTCGTTGTTTTCTTTGAAGGAACCATGTTTGAAGGGGTGTTTGTTTCTCGGGAAAAAAAGGGATCATGTTCCAAGACATAACAACGTTGTTGCTGGATCACAAGGCGTTCAAACACACGGTCGACATCTTTGTGGATCGCTACAAAGACATGGATATCTCTGTCGTTGCTGGTAATCTGTTTTTCCTCTCTCCCCTTGCGAAAATCTATCAACTTGATGTATTTTCCGTTTTCTTCGCTCAAATTATTACTCATATTTGCGATTTAGTCCCTGGACTGGGAAAACAAGTACCAAAATCACAAATTTACCTTTCTTCTGTTCTTTTAAGAATAAAACAGTCTTATGCTGCAAAATTTTCATGCAGGAGTTGAAGCTAGAGGATTCATGTTCGGTCCACCGATTGCCTTAGCCATTGGTGCAAAGTTTGTTCCTCTGCGTAAACCCAGAAAGTTGCCAGGTACTATTACTTGTGTATATGTATATCTTAAGCATATACATATTTTGAGTACGGTAATTATGAATCTTGAGAATTATGTCAAACATGGCATTTAGATTTGGAATGGAGATAGTGCTGGTGAAGTGGGGGGTAGCTTCAATGGTCAAGGGCGTGGGTGGGGTGGATTTCAGAAGAAAAAATGTACTAATTATTAAAGAGAAAAAAAGACTTTTTGTGCTGTCAACCATGTAGGCATGACCTAATTAGATCAGTAATTCTATAGATATCTGAAAATGTCAGTAACCCAGAAAACAAATTGCAAAAGCACACTATATTTACAAATTGCAGAATATTTTAATTGCTAAAAGGAGCTCCCAGGATATCCACTTTTAATCACCTACCCAATAATTGGAATTGGACTCTACTACCTGTTGTTGGACTTATGCATGTATAGGCGAAGTGATTGCTGAAGCTTATGAGCTGGAATATGGAAGGGACTGCTTGGAGATGCATGTTGGAGCTGTTGAGGCCGGAGAACGTGCTATTGTGATCGATGATTTGGTCGCAACCGGTGGAACTCTCACGGCAGCCATTAGACTCTTGGGTACAAAACATTTTAGCTTTGATGGCACTCGGATAACTTTTCGTAAATCATGTGAAACTAATGTTAGATTCGTTGTTTAATTAGAACGCGTCGGTGTTGAAGTGGTCGAATGTGGTAGTGTTATCGGACTACGGGAGGTCAAGGTAGTAAAGAATCCTTCTCCCTCATTCAGAAAACAGGGTTTATTGTTTTGTTGCCATTTACAATGAGTGCTGGCTTCTTTCTTTCAGGGACAACGTAGGCTTAATGGAAAGCCACTTTATATTCTTGTGGAGCCACGTGAGATAGATGACTGTTAATAATAAGGTATTGTTTAGTACAGTTACATCTTAAGAACAAGAATTGTGCAATGACACAACTATCTCGAAATATTGTCCAATTGTCCATACATAGATGAATACCACAGTAATACTTCTTTGTTGCATTGTTGTCGTCGTAGATTTTATATTCGGATTTCTGCCTGATTTGCAGAGGAAGATGATGCATGGTCAACAGCTTTGCTGGTTATATTTCACTCCTGATTGCTGGGTAAAGGGGTGACACTCGACAGCTTACAAGGCTCAGTTTGTAGGATTCATTATTTTCTTGTGAAATTTCTGTATTTTTCTTCCCCTAGCTGAGGAAAAAGTTATGTTTCCATCCACAAATTTGTGAAGAAATCATTATTGAACAACTGCTGTTGCTCCATGTTGATGGTATTGATTCATCTCAATTTCCCTATAAACACAGCAAAAAGGCTCTAACAGAAACATATTGAATTGAAATGATCCGACTCCTAAATGATTTGAAAATTTTAAAACTCGGCCACATGGAAACAGGGAACTCATCAAATTCTTGCTACTTTTTGCTTTCATTGTTGTTCAAATAATTACAAATATGGAAAACAGCAGTGTTAAAAAAAGGGGCATCTTCTCGGCATTACTGGTACAATTGTAATCCCAAAATCCACAATGTAATTGATTTCTGGGATATGTAATTAATATTGTGTGTGTGGTGGGTGGGTGGGGGTTACCTTATCAAACTCAATGTGATGAAGTATGCAAACCCCATTTTATTTATTTCAGAGTTGGTTAATTCAATGTCTTTATTCTTCGACATTGTATCACATTCTAGTCTATGCCGTAGATGAGAATTCACCTGCTTTCTTAATTTAGAGTTTTTCGGTGAAGATGTCTGCTATGATCTTCCTTAACTCATCTGTTCTATTATCATATTGGTTGTTGAATTGGTTATCGATATCGTGACAGACATTGCCTTCTTCCTTATCTATAGTTGCGCCTAATTAGATTATTTGCAAGGAAGAATTTAGTAAGTGAAAAAGAAGGTCAAGCAATAAAAGAATGGAAACTAACATTAACAATTTGCATAAAGGCTCGGAGAATAGTACTGAATAGCCAAAAAGCAAGGTGCCTCAGCAAGTATGAGAGTAATTTTATCATCGGAAGTAGTCAACAAATCCAATGTTTCTTCCACAAAGGAAGAATCTTTGATTAAATTTTCATCATTTGTAGACAAATTCACACTGCATTCAAGAAGCCGGTTGTGAAGAAGCTGGCACTCGTTGAGCAGCTTTTCTCTTGCATTTCTTACATGCTTAATTTTCTTTCCTGTTCTAGTTGTGCCTGCAAAATCAGAAGATTATATCTCATAGCAAGAAACTTGGAGCAATGATTTGCTCTGATTACACTTAATATCTCTAGAATGCTTAATAAAGAAAAAATTCAAGAAATATTAACGGTTTTCTATTTCTTTTGCTTTGGTTGAATGCCTCAAGAAGAAACTTAATGAATAACAAATACTTCAGTACAGAGAGTTAACTCAGCTTCAGATTTTTCTGACAGTGATTGACCAACCTCATGCTTCAGTTCTTTTTGGGATTTCCAGAGAGACTTGACCTCTTTAACTAGAACTTTAATATCTGCTTTTGATTTTGCCTCTAGTACTTCATATCGCTTTGATATATCATTCAGCTGCTCCTTAGTAGCATTTAACTCTTGCAGCATTGCATCTTTCTCCTCGGTAGCAGATTGGTTGGTTGTCTCCGTTATTTGCTTCTCATGCTGTCAAGTTTTAATGTCCACTAGTGAATGGTTAGTTTAAACAGCAACGAGATGACATTTGTGATGCTTGTCCAAGAAAAATGCAGTGGTGGTTAATTTTTGAATACAACTTCAACAACCATCCGAAAACTAGTTTTAGCTTTATCTTATGGGCCATGTGAGGGTAGAGGGTTGAATTTTTACTAAAAAAGAAACCAAACAACTAGAAACATACATTCATCAGTTATAAGCAATGCCTCTCCAAGGATAATTTATCTGACCAAGTTCACCTTTTACCTTAATTGAGAAAAAAATATCTGCAGAAAGCATCATATCATGCACGTGACAATAACAAAGGAAAATAAATTTCAATAATAAAGTTGAGTTGAATGCATTACTCATTTAGGATTCAATTTCAACTCCTTTTCCAATGATTTCCGCCGAAGGTCTTCCATTTCCCGCTGTATTTGAGTAAGCCTCTCTCTTTCAAGCAGGATAGCTTGATGCAGGTTTTCTTTACTTTTTTGTTTGGTGTTTTCAAGTTCCACTTCCAGATCCTTAACCTGAGCATCTCGATTTGTTAATTCAATTCAACCTCAAGATTGTTAATATTTTACTAAAGAATAAATCTCATGAAATGAAATGCATCAGAAAATGAAATGATTGATAAAACATATGACACAAAAGAGGGAAAGTAAGAAAATGCAATAATGATTGATACATACAATAACCAAATGCTAACCGTACAAAAGTTTCCACTTTGCACACAATTCACCCGAATGTTGATCAAACAAAGGATATAATTGAAAGAAACAGAAACCGATATAGAGAAATATAAATAGTAAGCTTCACAATCACAAGTATGAGCTATTGCAGCCAAGAGTCCCATAATACTGATAATATCTCAATAGTAATTATACAAAACTATTTAATTATGAAAACTTCCATAATTTATCTCAGAAAGCATATCAAACTGCTTCCACAAACCTTTGTCATAAGATAACCTTTCACTGCTATTTATTGATTTAATCTGGCTATAAGATCCTCCATGTCAGTTTTTGCAGTGACTAGTCTCCTCTGCATGGTTAGAAGAACACTGTTCTCTATGACGCTGGTCCAATGGAAGAATTATTTGTGTAACTCCAGAAAGGTCATGAGAGCCATTAACAGATGGATTTGGAATCCCAGAAATGGACATGTCGCTGCCTCTCAAAGAACTTACATCACTTCCAACGCTTTCAGTTTACAACTTGCGAGTATGACCAGCCACCTTATCTGGCTTGGCTCTATCTCAGAAAAGAGTTCCAGTCCATTACCGACAATAAGTGAAGCTCTGGACCCATTTCCAATATGTCTTTCTCCAAAGTCTTATTCATGTTTATGGCGTGACTTATGCCTAGGAAAATCTTCTAGCTGCTCCAAAATTGTTTGTCCCATGAATACTACCTCATCAATATTGGGCATATGATACTTCACAAGTTTTTCTATTGAACCTGTTAAATCTTCATCCAGTGTCAGATCTCCCGAACCAATTTCTGAACTGCCATCTCTTCCTAATCTAGGTGTCCCAAGCTCAGATGTCTCATAAGCAGTATCATTACCGTAATCTGATGCGATTGATGAATTGCCAGCAAAATGAGATATATTTGAATTGGGAGGAACATTATTTGATGAAATTGTGCTATTTCCAGCAATATCAGCTTTCAGTGAGCACTCATTTAATTATTGGAATGCTGAAAAGAATAAGAAATGTTAAAACACAAAGTTAAGGATAAAACTAATCTTAATTGTGGATAGTGTGTGTGTGTATATATATATATATATATATATATATATGCACATATATACGGTCAACTAGACAACCTATAACTTTAGATTCCATTAGACATCCATTTTTACAGGTAAATTTTACAAGATAATATGACTAAGGCTGAAAGTTCTGCTAATGGAGTAGATTGCACATACAGGACCTCGCAGCAACTTCTAGTTCAAGAAAGGATGCAACTGCGACAGTTCTGGATAAGTCTATGTCAGATAACAACTTTGCCATCCACTCCTCCAGTGAACACCTTCTCTGGAAAATATCTAAGCTGCTTTATTTAGTTGTCTAAATAATACCTAAGAATGACCTTTCAGTGTTGAAATTCAATTTTTCCCCAAGAACAGATACTTGTAGTGACCATTAAAGAAGAAAAATGAGAGCTACAATAGACTGTGACACATTTTCTAGATGATAAAGAGGAGGGCACAAAAATAGTTCATTAAAAGCCATAAAAGAAAGAAGGAAAACAAGTGAAGTGGAAAAACTTATTGCCTACCTCTTCCAACAGGCCCTGCTTTTCAAACGCAACAGGCCCTTGGGTGGCGCAGGGGGAAACTTTCTTGGGATATGCTTTTTTTCAACTGTAAAGGGAAGTCAATAACAATTTAAGAGGCCCATAAATCAGTTGTATTTGAATATTTTAATCAGAGTGCATGTCATTTGTTTCTACAGTACTGCTCAAGCGGTGTCATACTGAGCTCTCTAGCATACACTCTAAATCGTGGACTATTTGATGCAACATAAAGAAAATGGCGGAACGAACTTTATTAAATAGCTTCAAAAAATCATTACATCTTCTCAACACTCCTCGCGAAGTTGTGACACCGTCTGGTGATTGTATCCCTACATTTACCCTGTAAAACTGCCGTCTAAGACTGTTAACTGATAACCATGTGAAATAAATTAGTGACTAAAAACATTTACATGATTGATGATTATGACAGAATTCCATTGTGTCCTTTAAGATGTTGAAACAAATACCAAAGTGTAATAGATTTTACAGCATATAGACCAATTTAAATGTTGAAAGTATTTCTGAACTGTAATATACAATCGTAACCAAGTGTTATAAGTTAAGGATGAGGATGAAATTTGTATTCTAAAAGATAAAAAATACTAACAAGAAGAAAAGAGTGAGATAACATCAACCATAAACATATAAACTAGCGATTACCACTACAGGATCTGAATCTCTTGATTTCGGAAGGACAACCCACGAAGGAATTGTGAGACAGTAACTCCATCCCGTTCGAAGATCATGTGGCCAAACAGTTTCCCTCCCAATTTGCATGTATATGTAAATTGAATAAGAACTAAAACCGTTCTTTTCTATGTTAAAAGTAAGAATATGGTATTAAAATGTAAATCTATGTCAAGATTAAATAATAACTCAGTCCTTACTTTAGATGCCTAGATTCTTGACAGAGTTCTCCTATCACAGTCCTTAAAATTTTCAGCTGCAAACGCTTAAAAACCATGGGAACTCAGTAAATGCTTAAAACCAGCTCATGAGGTCTTATATAGACATGGGAATCAAATCTAAAATTCTAAAATTTACTCGATTAGTACATTTAAAAACCGATAATGTATCACGAATTTAAGTGACTTTAGTAGTAAAAAAATTGTTACTATTTTTTAAATTATGAGCATTCAATAACAAAATGTTGAATAATTTTTGAATATATATCACCTGATACTTACCTAGATTAATAAAAAAAAGGATAATGTAAAAGCAATAAATGCATGGCCTTTTCAAAAAGAGATGGAATTGTGGGAAAGCTGATCCATTTACGAGGGGGCAAACTCCAATCCATCCCGAGAGGCAGTGGCGAAGTCCCATCGTGCCTATGCTTCGGTGGGCTCCGTCTCTGCATCATCTATTTTCTTCTTTCCCCCCCCCCCAATCCATAAAACGAATACGATCTCTCTCTTGGAACCGAAACCGAATATTCAAATAAAATCAAGTCGGATAGCTTTGGGGTTTATGGATAAGCAGGAATGGGAACAAGATTGCAGATAAGATGGAAAAGCTTGCCTCCTGGAATCACTTCAGTTTGATTTGTTTCGACTTTCCCCCTGATGAGCTTGCTGATCTCCTTCGATTAGAAGCAACCGCTGCGCAGCAAGATGACGCTACTAGCCATGCTTAGACTACTGTTTTAGGCTTTCTTTCAATTCAAAAAAAAAAAATATATATATATATATAGATTAATTTTACATTTATTTTAATAAGTTAGCTGAATTAATTAATGATATTATATGTAAAAACAAAAACAAATAGAGTGTTTTGAATTCATTATATATATATATATATATATTCCTGAAATTTGAGTTTGAAATAGATTGTAAATAGGTGTGTAAAAGGAAAATTAGAGTAAGAACAAGTCAAATTTAGGTCAACATAATTCTTTAATTCGATTTGAACCTAAATAATTATCATAATATTCTTATAAAAATAATTATTACAATACTTATTTTTATATATTTCCAAATAAAAAAGAGATTTTTACTCGTAATTAGTTGATCCGGTGATAAAAGATATTAAATTTCTTAAGCAATATTAGGAGTTTAAATCTTTATATTTTCGAATAGAATAAACTGAATTGAGAGGGTTGCCCTCATCTTTATAGTATCTAATCCACATTAATTGGTTAATAAATTGTATATCAATTATTATAAAAAAAAGTTTTTTTTATATCAAGTTAAACCAATTTTTTTAATAAACATTAAGATAGAATACATAAAAAAATAGGCAAAAGGGTATTAGAGGCCCCTGAACTTTTCAAAAAATGATTAATATGACTCTCGTCATTTTTTTTATCCAATGTGACCCTTTGATTAATGGTCTCTGTCGTTAACCGTTACAATGCTAACTTGATACTTCACGGTGCTGATGTGACGATCTATAGTGGTTAGTGATGTGGAAGATGACGTGATAGATGATTAAATTGGTTTTTTTTAGTCAAGCTCAAGTGTCAGATTGAGTTTTTTAAAATTCAAGGGTTTATTTAATTTTTCAAAAAAAATTATTTAAAATTTAAAATTTAAAATATACAAATATAAGAAAAAACTAAATATAAAAATACTAAAAATAAAAGTTAAATTACTAAAAAAAATAAAAATATTAATCATAAGGATTGAAAATATTACTATTCTCTGTGCCCGATGGTTGTCTATTTTTCAAATTTGTCAAAAAAATTGATTCCTTTGAAAAATTGGATTATTTAGATTATGGATGATCTGTAAAACTAAAGGTACAAAGGGTTAAAAGAATTTGTATAAATCGGTCGGAAACAATAAAAAAATATAAGGTTAATATCAATTTATTTCATCGAGTCATTTTATTTAATTATCGATTTGATATTACTTCAATTGACATTATTATTATAATTAAAAAATTAGTATTTATATATATTTAAATATATTAACTTAAAGGTTAATATTTAAAAATAATTTAAGTATCATAATTTAAAAAATAATATTCTTGAGTAAGTATATTTGGTATGGTAGTCAAATTGCTCATTTTTATTCTACACATTTCCTTAATAATTTAATTTTAAAACTTTTAAAATATATATATTTAATTTTTTAATTTTAAATTTTTTCTATATCTGTATAGTTTAAATTTAAAATTTAAAATATTTTGTTCCAAAAAATCAAATAAACCCTAAAAAAAAACTCAATTTAACCCTCGAACTCGATAAAAAATCAATTTAACCCATTTACCACTTCATCAGCCATTGTGGACTGTCAAGTCAATGTCGTGAAATGTCACATCAAAATCGTAACAATATAAAAATAATTGATCAAATAATCACATTAAATTTAATTTTTTAAATTTAATGGCCACATTAAATTTTTTTTAAATACGAGGCCTCACGTATCCTTTTAACTTCAAAAAATATTTAATTTTTAAATTTTAGAAGAACTAAAAAACCAATCCGTCCTATCCTGTATCTATCCTTAATATCTTAATGATATCCTTTTGAATTTAAATTTACCTTATCCAGCAGTTTAATGCATTTTTTTTAAAATTTATTGAATTATCAAATCCAGATCCAGCTCAGTAGCTCACTCCAAATCAATTATTTATATAAATTCTAAGGAATAATACAAGGAAGCTAGTTCAGAGGAGAAAAAGCTGCTGTTGTCTTTTTAGATAGATCTATCGAAGTGAAGCGATCTATTGAGAGAGAGAGATAGGTATTGGAGTTTAGATGGCGATACTGTACGCGCTGGTTGCGCGTGGATCGGTGGTGCTGGCGGAGTTCACGGCGGCGTCCACCAACGCCAGCTCTATCGCTAAGCAAATTCTGGATAAGATACCAGGAGATAACGACACTAACGTTTCGTATTCGCAGGATCGATTCATCTTCCACGTCAAACGCACCGATGGACTCACTGTTCTTTGTATGGCCGATGAAAGTGCCGGAAGTAAGTTAGCTAAATCACCTTTCTCGTTATTTAATTTAGATGGTGATTTTTGTCCGAAATTTAACTTATGTCTAATTGACGCGATAGGATCACAATTCCTTTTCGATTGCTTTTGAAGTATTCTTGAACACTTTCAAACTAAAGAGAGCTGAGAGGATATGCATAGTCGATTGAGAAGAAAGTTGAAGTTTTATGGTTGATTGACAATCTAGAGTTTGATCATTACTTCAAAACGATATAAGGGATGTTTTTTCGTTCATCATATCATTTCCTCAATTGTAGCATTTATGAGTATGTTTATGAGTTAGAGATGGTAATACCAATGTTCTTCAGAAAATTCTGTTGAATTTTCAGTAATCAAACTGAAAATTTATAGCTCTAACTCTTCGGTAACTTGGTTCAAATGTTGCTGACGGTGAATGTGTTTATTGTATCTTTTACAGGGAGAATTCCTTTTGCATTCCTTGAAGACATCCATCAGAGATTTGTGAGGACATATGGAAGAGCAGTATTTTCAGCCCTTCCTTATGGCATGAATGATGAATTTTCAAGGGTCTTGAGCCAGCAGATGGAATATTACTCGAGCGACCCTAATGTCGATAGGATAAATCGACTAAAAGGCGAAATGAGTCAGGTAGGCTTTGAATGCTCGGGATCAGGCTATCAATTCCTTTATTCTAGTTCTTCTAGATTCTTATTGGCAGTTCCTTTTTCGTATTCAACCTACTTAACTATGGCGTTTATTTAATCACATAAGGATTATCTTATACCTACTCTTAGAATGAACTAGTTTGCTGTTTAGTTATCACAAGGAGTATAAATTTCCAATATTAATCGTATATTTCCAACCATTTAACATGTTATATGTAGGGGGATCCTTACTTTTAGTGGCAGTTATGACCTTTTCACTCGAGGGCATTTCAACTTGCATTTTTTGGCTTTCAACATTTCCTTTTCAAGTTGTTTCTTGTACTCAAATAGGTGAGAAACGTTATGATAGAGAATATTGACAAAGTTTTAGAGAGAGGTGACCGCTTGGAATTGCTGGTCGACAAAACTGCTCAAATGCAAGGAAATACCTTCCGCTTCAGAAAGCAAACTCGCCGATTCAGAAACACAGTATGGTGGAGAAACGTGAAGCTTACGTATGATTTCTGAACTTTAAAACCTCTTTACTGTATGTTACATGCATTGCTTTGAGTTTGGAAGTGAACTTTACTAAGAAGATCATAATTTTGCAGTAAAACAGTTAGCTTTAAGATATAATAGATACTAGGAAAGATGGACTTGTCCCTCACTGTCTTGCTCTTGCATTGCACATTGCAGGGTTGCTCTGATAATCCTCCTCCTCTTTATTGTTTATGTCGTGCTGGCTTTAGTTTGCCACGGGGTCACGCTACCTTCGTGCCTAAAATGAGGTCAACAATTTTAGATTCAAACTCCTTCCCCACGGAATCACGTTTTCTTTGCCTGACGATGTTTTCGTTTCAACTTCCTCTGCAGTGAGTTGTATACTATCTAATTATTCAATGTCACAGAACTAGAATTTTCATGCTGCTCGTGTACCCACAGTTTCATGTGAAGTTTGGAACTGGTTGGTGTTCGTCTCTTGAAGACACTGGTTGATCAAAATTTATCTAAGACCATGTAGATTCTTTTTTCTTATGAAAAGTCTTCTCCATTACCCCAATTATGCATACCTAGAAAGTTATTCATTAGATTTATCGAATTCGACATAACACGAATACTCGATACTGTTGAAGGTATAAGCAAACAATGGACTGATGAGATTAACAATCCAAATGCTCTGGCAAAATCAATCTGAAGGGGCATTATTCGAGACTTACAATCGACATACACATAATTTGTACTTGCAACTAAAACTTCGCATTCCTTGCTTAGTAAAACATTTGACGATACACTCTGTTATACTAATCTGTCATCTGCAAGATTAAATCTGTTCAATAATTCCTGCAATTCATGCAGTGCGATCTTATAGTGTTCCTCGGATTGTGCTCCTCCTTCTACAACTGGAACTGCACGCTTATGCAAGTGATTTTGCCAATAAACTGGGTCATACACAACAATGTCAGTGGAGCCTTGATCAACATGCCGAGACTTGAGATCTTTACACCAACGACGCATTATGTAGCGCGAGGGAATTTCCTCCACACCGTTATAATTAAGAACATTCAATGCATGCCTGCATAAGTAACCTTTGTAGTTGAACAAACTGCATATGCATCGGATATCGATCTGGCTAGTCTCGAACAACACCTCATAACTTCTAACCTCCTTGTTTCCATCAATTTGCACTCTTTCTTTCACAATGTATGTTATTATTGGGCCATTCACACTCACCTGCCTCGTGTTGAAGCAAGAGTACATCCCCTCGACTTCAGATTGGAACTTACTGAAGATTTCTTTTGTGTACACTTTAGAGAGCTGCACCTCGAAATTGCATCTTGTTTTCAATTCAAAGCTTGAATTTTTTGACTGCATATCCGCAGTGGCTTCTTTTAGGTGCTTCCTATAAAGAGCTAAATCATACTTGTCAACAAATTCCTTGAATGATGTACGCTTATGTACACAACCATAAAAAAATGCATTCAAACTCTCGTTTTCTTGGATAGGGATCATTCCGGCAAAAGATGTATCCTTTAAGTAAACTGGAACCCATTGTTTCCTTTCTTCGTACAAAGTTTGGAGCCATTTGTTATCCCCAAGACCGTGCTTCTTGACCATTTCAGCCCAAGAAGTTTCAAACTCAATTATCTTTAGGGAGTTATAGACAGCTTTATTCAAGTGCCTTCTAATTGCTTCAAAGCCTCTCAATCCTCCCAACTTCTCTGGAACTCTCTGCATGATATACCACAAACAAAAACAATGACGAGCCTTTGGGAAAACCTCGGAAACAGCAACTTGCAAGGGTTTGCACTGGTCTGTAACAATAACTTGCGGTGGGCACCCTAGCATGCATTTAAGCCATGCTCTAAAAATCCAGACAAAGTACTCTACCGACTCATGTCCGATGAAGCCACATCCCAACAACACCGACTTTCCATGATGGTTCACTCCAACAAAAGTGATCAAGGGAATTTCATATTTATTTGCCAAGCATGTTGTGTCAATTGCGACAGTGTCACAAAAATAACCATAAGCAGCCCTGGACCTTGCATCTGCCCAAAAGACATTCTTCAAATGACCATCGTCATCAAGATCCATAAAATAAAAGAAGTTTGGACTAGTCAACTTCATGCGACAGAAGAAATTATAAACAGCATAAGAATCTCCCTCTTTAAGTTCCAAATGTTTAGAGTGGTCCACTGGATGACTACCCTCTCTTTCGGAAACATTTGAATATCCGTTAGACACATCATCCATGGCAGCGGTTCGATACAACTTGATGGTATGTATTTCTGTTACAGGCTCTGCTCGTGGTTGTGCATTTCTGGCTGCAAGAATCATTTTCTTATGAGACTTGTAAAATCTTTTGATCTGTGGACTCACCTGGTGATTGTGTTCGAGCTCCACTTCGACTATTCTCCACCTTTTAGAGTCCACAAGCCTGATGACTACCATTGCAGGACAACCAGTTCTTGTTTCTGGTCTCGGATTGTTGGCTTCACTCTTTTTCTTAAAGCCTGCACTACTACAGCTAAGTTTTGCTCTATATCGCTCTTTCCTTTTGGTTCTAAACCATGAATTGCTAACTCTAATGCCAAAACCCTGCTCCTTAGCATAGATATTGTAGAAGTCATAAGCTTCATCAAAAGAATCAAACTCCAAACCAATAGTAGGTGGAGGTGGTTCTTTCTTTGAATGTTTTGCACCAGTTTCTTCATCGTGTTCCACGGCACTGCAGTCTCCCTCACCCTCATACTCATCGACCTCCTCAAATACTGGCTCACTATTAAGACAGACTTCTTCCATCTGGGAAACAAAATGAAAAAAATTAGAAGCACAAGGTAAACAATCCTGTATTAGGAATCACACAATCTAGTTTACTCAGAAACAATTTGTAAGAAATTAAGCCTAAAGCACAAGGAAACTTTCTTATTCCCATAACCTACGAGGAATAAATAATAAAGTACACAATAAGTGCAAAGCCCAACATTACTAATAAAATAAACATACTGATAAAAACATATAAAGCTAACCGAGAAAATGAATTACATATAACTGCTCTACTAGGACTAAACATTGACTAAAACCAAAAATCCAACTGAATGTCGGAGACCAGACCAATTCAATGGAGCAACTTCAACTCATAGAAGAACAGAATTTTCTTAATAAATGGTAATATCCAGAACACATACAACGTCAACGAAGAATGCAAAAGATGTGGATCCCAGTAAAGAAAGTCAGTCAAGAAGGGTTTGGTAAAAGAAAAGACAACAACTGTTACTTTCTTTTGGCCTAGGAGGCCATAATTTCGGTTATATGCCATTTCTATTACACGATCCCATGGAAAACTCAATGGTCTGTTTTCATGGAACGTAACATAAAGACCCGATAAGAAGGAAATCATACTGAATGGAAATAAGGGAGGAAAAATTAAACAATGAAATCATACCTTCAACTCAAAACATTCTGTTCTTCATATTGTTCATGACAGGAACCACCTCCATCGATTTTCCTATCAAACAATAATCAAGCAAAAGACCCCGAAGCACTGAGAAGCCCATGGATTATATGCTTACAGGACAAGCTTCCCCCTCTGGCATAGTTTTAACAACTATAGGAAGCCAACAACATTCTTTCAATGCAAAATGAAAACGTAACCTTAACTTGTGCAACAACATATTGAAACTAGCTACAACATAGCATATAATAACATATGGATAAAATGCAAAAACATATTGAAAGAAAATTTCACGAGTAGAATGCCCTACCGTGAGATTAACATTGTAAAAACTTATCACTGAACAAGACAATTAGATTCCCAGATAAGCTTCCACAATTTAGAACATAAGTACCATGAGCAAAGAACAAATTGAAGAATTAATTTCTGTAAGACGCTTACAAATGTTGTCCTTACACGAGGAATATCCAGACCTGCGTGATGCATAATATTCAGCCAATGACATCAAGATATGAACAAAGCTAGTCTATTGTAACATTTGTCGAATAAATGCTTTAATCTGATTTGATCCAAATTAACATATTAACACCTCTAGATTCCCATACAAAATAACATATATGTTAGTCAGCTCAGAGTTAGAAATAGCAGCAGCAGCAACAATGGAATAGCACAATACAGAGAGCTTCGAAAACGCTTGCTATAAAAGAAAAAAGAGACGCCCCCCACATTCTAATTCCTTTGCAGTAAAATTTCGTTGGTACTGAACTTAAAGTTCAAAACTAGTACGAAAATGCATTTCCTAATAATATATTATACATTTATTCATATGTATAATTGGACCGTAAAAATCCTTGCAACAATCTGGTAGTACTATATAAGTTATCATTAACAAATTACCAAATAAGAACCAAAACTAAACAGTAAAGGTGATCGCGATCAAACAAAAAGAATTCTGATTCTCAAATACATTTCCTGCTATTAAAATAAGTGTTTCGAAGGTTAGATTACTAACTTTAATCACAAAGCTGAAGAGTTTTAAGCATCATAAATGATATAATTTCCGTTTGGTAGCTGAGAAAATAGGAATGTCTTTGTTTCGTACCTTGCTACTCTATTAGTACTTAATAGTAATTAAAATTTAAAACTATACAAAATTTAATTGTCAAAATATCTATCGAAAAATTCCAAGCTTAATACCTGTTAATAATCACTTATCACATCGTTTTTAAGTTCTTTACTTCATCTCATCAACCAAAATCTAAAATCCAAATCGCTCGAAGCCCTAAGTCAACGTTGTAGAACTTAAGCGAAAAAAAAAATCAAAATTGAGGTTAATAAGTTGCAATTATAGATATGATCTTACGATGAATCGTCGAGCGAGCTGAGTGGGACGAGGAAGGAATCGTGCGAATGGAGCTGAAACGCACAGCCTTTTAGAATTGGAGTTGGGGAAGGAAAATGCGAGTCTCACGCTGGGGATTATGGAGGTTTCATAGATCTATCGACTCGCTGAGTTGACACGTGGGAACTTTCTCATTTTTAAAGGTTTACTGACTACAAAGTATTGCGTGCACTGTGCTGCCGTGGGTTGGTGGCAACTTGTTTCCTCTCTCTCTCTCTCCAATTTCCCTTTGTTTATCATATTTAATTTCTCAACAATACCACCTATCCATTTTTTAAAAAAAAATCTCGAAGTATTAAAAGACGAAATATTATATCCTTGATTTTGACGCAATTAATGGCTAGCGGTGATGCATTTTGGATGTCAGAGTTGATGAATCCAAATGCTAGCGATGAAGGTCCCTTTTTTTTCTTTTGAGGAAAGTGATCAAGGTTTGTTGAATGTGACATTATTTACAATTTTTTTAAACTAAATATATCATTTTCGTAATTAAATATAAAAATTTATATATATATTATCAATATAATTATTTAATATATCCCTTCAACCAATTCAACATCAAATAGATCGAGAACATATTTTATCAAAAACATTTTCAAAAGAGATGGAAAATATAATGTATATTTTAACATATCTTCATTTATGTGATACTAAAAAATTTTATAAAATTAAAATGCTTATCAAATAAAATAAAATTTGAATATAAGATAATAATCCAGTTCAATAGAATCAGTTTTTCTTATTGAATCGGAATTAATTCAAATTATAGCAAACATGACATAATGCTACCACCCAAACAAAGCCAACTTCGAGGTGGATGCAGTAGAAAAAAACAAAATAGAAGACAGAGAGGCAAGAAAAGATATGCAACTCAAATCTTTTATTCGTATACCATAGGAACAATGTTTGAACCTTGAAGGATTTTATTTTCTTTGCTATATATGGTCACGGAGACAGGAGGTGAAGTATATAACACTGTATGTATTAAATTTGTATCTTTTATGGTTGAGTATCCGTACCTTAGACGTCATAGACATCTGCAAAGTACTGTTTAGCGGTAAAGAAAGTTAGTTGTGCAGTACTCGAATCGGAGACAAATTCGTAGCAGTAATCACCTATTCCTTAATAACCCCGAGTTTCCGCAACGATGACCTTATTTCGTCGGTGCTGCATCCTTCAGCTTGAAGGATGTTGGGACTGTCGGTTGGAAGGACATGTTGTAGAGGGTAGCTTCTATTAGAGTGAAGCTTAAGAGCACTGTTTCCAATTCCCTTCACTATGACTGTTTTACGGACTCCTCCAAGCAAGGCTTCGTAATCCGTGTCTCCGCATTCCCCGACAAAGATTATAACGTTCGATAACTCCATGCCCCAACGGACGTATAGGTACCTAAAGGAGAACAAGTCGTATTATATACCAATACCTGATTAGTTATCTAAAACACGATCAATGAAATATCCGGACAGAAAAGAAACGAACAAAGTTGAAGAAACATAAAGAACTTCAGAAGGAACACCTTAAAGCTTGAGCTCGAGAAGCCAAAACGGGAATGACATTCAATCTGGTTCCATTATGACAATAGATAACATTGCATCTAAGGGCCTGAATTCTTATTAACTTTCGAAGCTCCTTAATTGGGGGAACCTGTGAATAGAAACAAGCATTTGAGGAGAATTGTGAGGTTAATTAAAACTGCAAAAGAACCGAACAATAGAGAGAATAAGGCAGTGGATGATGTGCGGAAACATGAACATGAAAATAGGTTTACCAGTTCAGGGTCCTTCACATTGAATGCATAAAAATGAACAGTAGATCGAGATTCATCTTCCAAAACGATTTCTCCGTTTTTATCATTAACAGAAGTAGCCCATCGAACTAGAGTTTTCCTTAGACCTTCTCCACCCCAACGGTATTCAATGTGTGATTGATAATCAGAGTCTACTATGAACGGCCTACCCTCCGAACTTGTTGAAGGATAGTACAATTCGCCACCACTGTTACAGATAAAAGCATCGAAATCCAATGGACTTATGCCTCCTGAGATGAGAAGGGAGTGTACCTCGGATATCGACAAGGATGTCGATAGTATAAACCCAACAGAACTCTCGTTTCCTGCTACATCCATAACTGTCTTCACAATTTTAGGAATATCGGAGATTGAATCACAATCAACAGCTATCACAAAAATGTATTTCCTCATCCTCATTTCTAGGTTTCTACCGCCACCAACAATTTGGTCTTGCTTCTCCATTAAAGTTGCCTTTTTGGCATTCTCCAAGTTTCTTTTTGTATCAATGGAATCCAAGTAACTATCAAGAGTTCCAGTTCCTTCACTCTTTTCACCATCCAATGATAACTTCAAGTTTAAAGATAAATCTTGTATGTCTCTCAAAGAATCACCAGGTGAATTATGTTCTGAATTTTCGAATCCAAGATCACTTCTCTGCCACTGTGGTTGCCTTGGCTTGCACATGGCTATCCGAGACAAATATGTTTTACAGTGCTCTGGCCAAGAGAATTGATGTATATTTTTCAGTCCATTCTGTCTGCATCTCGCCCACAATTGCTTATCTGAAACAAGGTTTAGAAGAGCGTCGGCAATAGACTGCTGATCATGGGGATCAACTAGAACACCATTGTCGAGAACCTGCAACAAACTTACTTCAGTACCATAAGTATTGTTTTAAACCCTAAACTTTCTCCATATCTATATAAAGGTGAGAAAACACTTATAAGTTGCAAAATAGCGATGACAAACGAACCTTGTGAATGTCAACAGGACCCCCATTTTTTGTGGCAACAATAGGCAAGCCATATGCCGCTGCCTGTTTACACAAGAATTTTTGTTGAAGCTTCTAAAATGTCAAAAATATGAAATAGGAAAAACTATATAGATGTAGCAGACAAGCACCTCGATTAAAGTAAGCCCAAATGGTTCAATAAAGGCCGGATTGATAAAAACACCCTGTGAAAGAAAAGAAAAAGGAGATGTTAAGAGAAATTCCTCGCAAAATATTTCACTAACTGAAGTTCCCTCATCATTATTTTCTGCACCAAGACTAAAGAAAAGTCAACAAACTAGAGCAAAGTAAGGATCACTTATGACTTAATCAAAAGCTAAAAATATTACAAAGTAGAATAATACGATTCAGTACATTCTATCACCGAGAAGTCAAAATAGCGCATCTAAATAAAAAAAATGTACTCTTCCATTAAAAATAAAGACTATGCCAACAACCAATTGGTTTAGTGGATGAGATACTAGAACACTTACGCAAGGTCCGGGGTTCGAATTATTACATGAATGGAGCAAACTAGATTGAGATGATTGCCCCCATAATGAGACTCTATTGTATCTAATCCGGATTAGTCGGTCAATGAACTGGATACCGGTGGTTAAATAAAAAAAGAAAGGAGACTGTACTATCTTAATTCGAGAATTAGTTCACGTAGTGCACCTTTGTTTTTGTTGCTAGACCGTATATGTCAGGAACTTCATACTGCTTGTGGTGTTTAGGATATGCCACTTGGCCATACAAATCATACTTGTCAATCAGTTTAAGAATCGAGAGAAGCACAGTTGCACTGGTGCCAGACATTTCATCAATATTATCACGGTTTCCCATTATTAACGTCTGCACCAGACAGAAGTAAGAAAATTGGGATAAGATTAAGAAAACTAGATTGGAAGCCTCATCAAGTTCAGTTCAAAACCAGGTACGTACAAGATTAGCAAGCTCCCTTAAAGGTCGGCACTCTCCAAAAGCTTTGACTAAAGTTGTAATATTCTTCTTAGGGTCTGGTCGAGCAAGGGCAAGAATCATCGGTTTGCGAGGGTTCGTAAAAAAACGCATTACCTGCATACATTATATTCATCAAATTACTGCCCCAACAACAATCTGTTAGTAAAATATTATTGGAGTATAACAAGCAAAGAAAGGTCAGTGATGGTCAGTAGTAAAGTTATTATCAAGGAGAATTTTGAATAAACGAATCTAGTTATAACCTCAGACCAAATAGGAGGGTCAGGAGTAGGATTTTCTTCATTTCTTTCCATATCCCCATCCATGTCTCCATCATGAGGAACAATGTGATGAAACTCCATCCCAGGAGGAATTACCTATATATGATTTCAGCAGCATAAGATACACAGGAAAAAAAACAAAGAGAAGGAACAATGCAAATACCAGTAAAATACTTCATGTGTGAAGTAGAATGATAAGCAATAATAGAAAAAAAATGATATCTTGATACTTACAACCATACGGGGCATAAACCTCCCATGACAGTTCACACTCTTTTGATCCTTGCTCTAAGTTTACGTTCCAATACTGGATCAAAGCCGTCACAAAGGCGCCACTGCTCTTCTATCTCCTGTCTAGTACTAGTTATAACAATTTCAGATGCATCAAGAGATAACTCCTCAGCCTCTATCCGCCGCATGATTTTGTAAGTTGTGTTTATTTCTTCTCTAGACTGTCGACCCTGTTTCAAGATTTGTTCTAGCTTATCCCTACCAAGTGAGTGGCCAGTAAAAAGCATTGGAACATTTAGAGCTCCAGATAGAAGAGCAGCAGAATCACCAGCATCTGCATAATGTCCATGAATAGCAACAGGCCAGACTGGTTTTCCGCCACCAATTTGCTCACCTAGAACTTTGGACATCTGTCGAATGTGACTAAGTGCACAATCAACAAACTCAGGAATATGAGGCCAAAGAAGTTCTTTGAGTATATATTTATCTTTCGGACCGAAGGGTATACGAATAATATAAGCACCACTGCTCTCTCCAAGCTCCTGCATCGAGTTCTCTGTAGTTCTTGGAGTAAGCATCTCTGTTGGTTCAGCATAACTCCAATCTACATCTGGAGCTGAAACTTGTCTTGTCAGCAAGTCAACCCGATAAACTCCTGGCATTGTGCCCAAGGCCCTAGCAAGTTCTACTACGTACTTAACCTGTGTACAGCACAACATCAAAATTCCCAACGTGCAATAGGGTGATTGACCATATTTTGAAGCAGATAAGAAAAAATATAACACACTTAAGTTAAAAAATGTGGAAAGAATTACCTGACCACCTGTATCAGAGTCACGACCAAGCTCCATGTTTTCACCCCTTATCAAGCCATGAAGACTGCAGGGAGACGACAGGTTAGAAAGTACAGTACATCATGAATGTCTGAAAAACAATGAGCTATTATTTAAAAGTACGATCTAAATTGTGTCAGTATAACAGATAAAGAGCACATTGAAAATATGAATCACTGAACAACAGCTGTAACATGTCAGCTAATATAGAAGTGTAGGTCATGCCTTATCAACACAATATAAAGCTTCTTTTCTTTGAGCTGATTAGCCAAGTTCTCCATCAAATCAACAGAAACAATTCTACGCATTCTTCCTTGGACGCTATCACCATGAGATGAAACTTCACCAGGAAACTCTCCTTTCTCTCCTTCTGAAAGGTCTTCAGACATATCAGCAGTTGCCTCTTTGCGGCCTCTTTCACGTTCAAGGTGACGCTTAGCATTTTGTTGAGCTTCCTCCACCTCAAGCTATTAAGCAACCAAATAGAAAAGAGAAAAAAAACTAACACGGATGAAGCGAAAAAAGTTGAAAGTAACAAATTAACACTCGAATAAACATAGTGGTACACTATAAACAGTTCATTACAAATCAAACCAGGATAAAGCAGCTAAAACTTAGAATCAATACAATTGTTCTCGCGATCTAAAGATAATATGTTGACTGAAATGAGTTATTCATCTGCATCGTTCACAAAATGGTTAAATTTTAATTCATAGCCTAAATCCAGGAAGCGAAATGGTAACACATGCTGACTACGCAAGCAATTTGATATAACTAAAAAACACTAAGGCAAATGAAAAACAAACAAACAATATTTTGCATTATCCTCATAGACAAGCAGTTACAGTGTTGTTGTGAAATGTGAAGGCCACCACCGTTAACAAAAAAAAATTGTAAACTCCACAAATAAGAAATAAAAGAAAATCAGTTGTCACTTCTATTCTACTAATCACTTAACACCAAATCCAGCACAGTAAAAGTAGGCGTTTTAATCTATATTTACTAGAAGCAAAAGCTTGGAACTATTGATCTATTTAATTCTAATTATGTTAGATGCAATATTCAAACCAAAATAGCAGTAAAAAAAGGGAAAAAAGAAGAAAACCTGCTTCTTCTTTCGAGCCAAATTCCAAATCCTCCAGCACATATTCTCCAGTCTCGTGTTCCTCTCCTTAGGACCCCTCGTGGCTGCCGCCTAACCGGGAAAAACCAATTACACTTAAATTAACAGTTAAAAGAGTCCATAATTCAAATTGAACGGGGAAAACAAGAGAGACCGGAAGGATAAAGGAGTACTATTGTGTTTATAAAGGAGAGAAAGAGCAAGATCATCATAAAAGAGATTGGAATGAAAACTGTACTCGGATCCAAGAACGGTGGAGATCGGATTCATCGTAGCCAGTGATGACCTCTTCCACGAAGTAGCGAGTTGGACTGAAATGACCTCTCTCCCTCAGCAACAATGAAGATTTCGCTTCGTCGATTCCTGGACCAACGTCCAGGATCGCTTCCAGGTAACTGTTTATCCAATCGTTCCCCCCCATACTTTGACAGGAAAAAAAATCCAGAAAAACTAAAATGAATGAAAAACGAGGAACTGAATTTATAGACTATGGTGGTGTAGAAAATATTCGAAATATATATATTTATAAATAAACAAATTAAAACTAAATACAATTAGTATAAATAATTCAATGTTTTTGAGGAAAATATATTTATGGTAAGAAAATTTATCATTTTTTTCTTTTTTGCGCTCTAGAAAAACGATGAGAGTGAATCTATTAAACTGATGAGACGGTTATGCTTCGTTTGGTGGTCTTTTTCCTTCTCGTGAATATAATTACGAGGATGACGGAGTGCCCATTTCTTGGTTAGAGAGGCCAACACGTGTCACGTGTTGATGATGCATCATTTTATTGGTCTAATTATGTTTTTAGTCCCTCTACTCTACTGGATTTGATTTCAACCCACCATTTTAAATTCACATTATTTAATATTTTAGTTTTGTTATATTATTAATAGCTTAACTGAAACATCATTAATTCTTGCTATCAAATTGATCATATAAAACGAGTTTAACTTGGTTCACATATTGCAATAACCGAAAATTTTATGTTATTTCTTAAGATCTTATATTTGAATACCACGTGTAGTGATATAGATGTTCATTGTCATAGGATTAAAAGTCTTTTGATAATATTTTCATTGTCAAAGGATCAAAGCGGTCATAAAGGCGTCACTGGGCTTGCTTTCTCTACTGCCATGAATGTGCTTGTTTGTTCTGGAGCAGATGCTCAGGTTGGTTTTTTATACAATATAACTATCTCTACCTATGCTTCATCGAGAAATTCATAATTCGTGTTTTTTTCCTTTTCTAGAGATGCAGATTTTCACATGGAAACTTGACGGATGGGGGAAATGTAAAAGCAAACTCTTGCAGTTCCCCGATGAGAGAATCCCAGTAATGGGTTCGAATACCATTGTCCAGTTTCATCAGGATCAAGTACACTTCCTCGTTGTGCATGAGACTCAGCTTTCAATTTATGAAGCCAAAGAACTAGAATGTGTACACCAGGTTCCTCTCCCTCTCATCAAAGCTTTCTTGTTGTTAGTATGCTGTTTGGTCATGTAAGCAGAATGTTTAATCTTCTCTTTTTGTTTTCTCAGTGGGTTCCTGAAGATTCTACAAGAATCTCGCAAGCAACATTCGCATACGATAGTCAGATGGTGTATGCCTGGTTTGTAGATGGGAAAGTGGCGATATTTGGTGCTTCATATCTTGAATTAAAATGCCAGATCCTTCCCGCTTCGTATGTTCCTCCCAGTGCAAGGTATGTCAACATGGTTCATGCAGCAATCGCATAGCCTTCACCCCCCCCCTTTTTTCCTTTCTGAATTCCTATTTTTAACCATTAATGTCATCTAATGTCAGGACAGAATACGATTATATGACACAATGATAAGAGAAAAACAATAGGAATACGCTATTAATATACAGAACATGTTAAAGTCTGTAAAATATAAGTAGTTATTAATGCATCAAACTATATAAGATGCATATTAACTAGAACTGATTTCTTTCTGACTATTACCGATGGTGGTTGCAGATCAAATGCGTATCCCCATGCCATAGCTGCACATCCGCAGAAACCAACCCAATTTGCATAGGGATTGACAGATGGCGCAATCATGGTTTTAGAGCCTCATAAACCTAGTATTTCGTGGTACCTGCCTGGCTGAATATGAGTCTGCAACTGCAAGCAGCTGCTTGGTCATAGATTATTAAAACTAAAAGTGAAATATCTTACACATTATATGTCTTAGATTTGACAATCTCCATACATATTTGTGAATATTTGTCCGTCTTAGATTTGCCAAATATTATATATTTATTTTCTTTGAATGAATTATACATATCGTTTGTTTTAGTAGTATTTTAGCTGGTTGTCAATTGAATCTAGATACCACCCATGGTTGCAATACCGGTTGGTGAGTGTCCGGTATGGGAATAAAGTGGATTTTATTATATATATTTTTATTTCACTTACTTTATCCAATCAATAAATCGGTTTAATTGCCAGTTACACCAACAAAAAGTTAATGCTTTGTAGGCAAATATGGACACATATAAAAAATATCACATTGCACCTTTTTTAACGGTCACGATGCATCAAGTGAGCTGTACATGGCCGTCCATTGCCTGTAACTGAGGCTTTGCGTGTTTCTTTTTATACCAAGCTCTTCGACATCTCTGCATTTCTCTTAACAAAAAATAAAAACCATCCTCCCATGGCTGCCACAGCACACGCTAAAGAAACACGGTCATTAACAGCCGAAAACGAAGACTACTCCCAAGATTTCGAAGATCGAATTTCATCATCCGGTTAAGGCGGGTGTTTCCGGGGACTTTTCGGGTGGCGGCATCGATATTTGCTGCAAACAGAGGAGATTAGATAGAGTTGGGTGAAGAGGAAAGCCAAGAAATTGCAAGAGACATCAGAGGTGTTGGCGGGTCCGAGGTGGAAGAATTTCATTAGAAGGTTTAATATTTATGGGATCAACAAGAAAAGGACGTGGACGACGATGCAGTACGATATTCAAAGCTACGACCTCAATTTCGAAGAAGGTATTTATAATTATAGGGAAGGTGATGCTGGATATCTTGGTTTCTCTGCTAGACCTATGTTTGCAGCTCCACCCGTCCCGTTGTAAATAAAGGGTAGCTTTGGGGATCTGCAATCCAAAAGGCCTGCTTTTTTTTTTTCCGTCGGATATTTACTAGTAGTAAACTAGCATCGACTGATTCTTTTTTGTATATTGTTCGTCTGAGATTCGTGTTTCATATACACGGCCAATAATGTAATTTGTCGATAAATGGATCTCGAAGTGGGTTTGTTTTTTTACCAGTAATTTTTTTATAAGATCCATATTTAATAATTAATTTGAATCGTATCGTACATCTCATCCTATAGACCCAACCAGGGAATGTCTCAGGAAAGGCGGGTTAATATACGGCTAATATACAGCATTACCGGATACATTAAAATGTATTTAATAAATTCGGTTTAGCGGTACCTATTATGTTGACAACTAATAATGTTTTAGGTAGAAAATATGAAAAACTATTAAAAAATTTGGTAACCGGTAAACTTTGGTTATCGGTAAGTATCTATCCTTTTTATAAAAGTGTCCATACGTTTAACATATCAAGTAAATTTTACCGGTTTTGTCATAATGAATCTGGTTTTGTCATATTTTTACTTGTTATATTGTAAATTATCTATCCTTTTTATAAAAGTGTCCATACTTATTTCACTGTGAAAATATATTTATTATTATCTTTAGTTAATATTGTTAAATTTAAAATCTAAATAATATTTTATAAAATATCAAAACAATCAAATAATTTTTTGTGTAAATGAAATTATTAAATTAATATTGTAGGTGGAAAACATGAAACACTATTAAAAAATTTGAAACATAAATTACATAACTTTCAAAAAAGTATATATCATTTTTATAAAAGTGTCCATACTTATTTCACTGTTGAAAACATATTTATTATTATATTTGGTTAATATTGTTAAATTTAAATGCTAAATAATATTTTATAAAATATCAAAACAATCAAATAAAATTTTGTGTAAATTAAATTATTAAATTAATATTGTAGGTGGAAAACATGAAACACTATTAAATAAATTGAAACATAAATTACATAACTTTAAAAGCAGTTTTAAATCCTAAAAAGTGTCGATACTTTTAAAAATATATCGATCCAAAACGATATACCAGGTAAAAATATGATAAAACCGGTAACAAAATGATAAAACCGGTAAATTTAAAAGTGTCGATACGTTATATAAGGATCGACACTTTGTGAATTTAAAAGAGAAGCAGTTATAGCGCCTATAATGTGTCGATACTTTAAAAAAAATATCGATCCACAACGATATAACAGGTAAAAATATGATAAAACCGGTATCAAAATGATAAAAACGGTAAAATGATACCGGATATATTGAAAGTGTCGATACTTTCGTAAGTACGTGTAATAAATTATCGACACTTTCAAAGAAATAGGTAATTATCCTTTCGAAAGTATCGACACCTGACATAAAAGTATCGACACTTTTGTATTTGTATCGATTAAATATAAATAACATATCCGATGAAAATATAAGCTAAATATCCTCTGAAAATAGATAGAACGGACGAGTTTTTGAAATCGAAGAGTAATTGTTGCTGCATTCAGAAGGCGTTTCTAAAGCGAAGTTTGTTTGTTTGTTGCTGCAGTCGAATCGAAAAGTATGTTGTCGAAACCCTAATTTTTTATTATTACAGTAATCGCGATAGGGTTTTTTATGTGTTGTTTGGGGTTTTGGAGTAAGGAAGCATTTGGGACCGATTGCAGGTAGAAATAGATATTCAAGGAAAAATATAAATGTCGATACTTTTATTAAATATTATAGGTAGAAAATGATATTATAGGTTGTATAAATGTGCCGACACATTTTGGTGTGGCCATTCAAATTCTTTTGAAGAAAACCGTTTTACCACAAGAGTAGTTATCTATATTTGTATATTGAAAAGTGTATGTAACAAAATAATTTGATTTGCGTAAACTGATATATGAAGGAAAAATGGAGTCAATGGGTTGGAAAATTGTTGGTGGAGCAGATGACTTTGAAATTGAGGCCGAGACTCGAAAGCAACCAAAGGGTGGATATATGTACTTCTAGTAAGTATCAATGTCTTTTGTTATTATTGTTGAAATGGTAATTGGATTAAAGTATCGATAAACTTTAAATTGATTACAAATTTAAATGTTAACAGTATGGCCGAATGCAAAAGGATGAAGGGAGATGGCACACAGAGCGGTTCGGTATGTAAAATGAAATTGACATTGAGTAGTATTAGTATTTAGTGTTAATGTATTGATTAAGAAACGTTTATGTTTAATATTAGGTGAAAAAGATGTGAGGTCCAAATGGAATTCAATGAGTGATGCTGAAAAGGAACCTTACATCACACAGTCAAGGAATGATAGTAAAGAATACAAAGAACGGAGGAAAGCACATGAAAATAAGGTATTCATTAAACTTGTAAATACGTTGATACAAAATATATAAGAACTATAACATTATATATTGTTAAAAAAATGTAGGAAGTGTCGACAAGATGCATCATTAAAAGGGTGAATTTATTAATTAAACACCTTAAGGAGAAGGGTCAGTTGAATGTGCTGGGAGAAATAGGTTTTGGATCGTTGATCGGAGTAAGGGATCGACCTATTCGGAGGGAATTGTGTCGATCCTTGATGGCACAATTTGACGTCAGTCAATGTATGGCTAAGTATGGTGATTATTCATTCCCTCTGGGGGTATCGACTGCTGCAGCCGTATTGGGGGTACAAAACAAAGGCAAAAGTGTTATAGAAGTCTGTAGGAGTAAGAACTGGAAAGCACTTGCCTCCAAATATGGTTTGAATCATAAGGTGACATATACTGAAGTTGAAGAGGATATCAAAAGTGGATCTTACTTGGGGGATGAGCTGAAGGCCCGAGTTCTATTGTACCTTGTCGGTATATTTCTTTGTCCAACGGGTGATACGTCAACGAACAAGGAATATATGAAGCTCATTTGCGATGAAGGCTTGAAGGGTGAATTCAATTGGGCTGAATATATCCATTCGAGATTGATTGAATCAATTATCACCTTTAAAAAGGGCAGCCAGAGATACCTCAAAGGGTGCATAGCAATCTTAGAGGTAAATGAGTTGAATCACTTTTTGTGTTTTTATATAAAAATTCTAATTTTTATAAATGCAGGTTGCACTGTTCGATTTTTGGTCGGGCTGTGAGGCAGTGCCGGCTTATGAAAGAACCGGAGTGGCACGCATCCGTGCATGGGGGAAGGAAGAGGTGGTTAGAGTGATGGTGATACAATTTTTTGAAGGTTATTGGCAAGGATGTAGAGGAGGCAGTGGAGGCAGAGGAGAAGAAAGGAGGGATGGTTGTATTGGGGGATGAAGGTGAGTGGGACGACGGTGAAGCAAAACAGAGTAACTTCGACATTTTGATGTCTGAATTGGCTGATATCAAAAAAATCCAATTTGAAATCATGCAAAGACAATCAAGAGTCGAAGAGAAACTTGATCAAGTCGTAGAGAAACTCGAGAGGCATAAGGGGGTAGTGGAAGGAAAATAGATGGAGTGGTGAAAGAAGTAGAGGTGTTGAGGGGTGAAGTGGTGAAAGAAGTTTCGGTGTTAAGGGGTGATATTAAGATGGTGACGGGAGAAAAATTTGAGGGAGTGGTGAAGGAGGTTGTTGATTTGAGGAGTGAACTTACGGGGGTGAAGGGGGTGGTTGATAAATACTCGGATGAAGGAGCTCAATTGAAGGGTGAAATAAAAGATATGAAGAGCTATGTAGAAAAAAAGTACGATGAACTGAAAAAATATGAAGAAGAAAAGAGGGAGGAGGAAGAAGAAGAGATGGAAGAAATGAAGAGGAAGGAAGTCGATGTCATTTATACACCGGAGAGTGTTATAGCAGCAGTTTTGGATTCGGAATGTCCTGCACCCAGAAGAAGAAGCAGAAGGTAAGTTTAATAAAAGAATACTTAATTTGATTTTTATTATGTTGTTGTGACAAAAATTTGTATGCAAAATTGTAGGTTGAAAAAGCGGACATTCCAACCGGAATTGATGACATCGAAGCTGCAATTTGTGATTATTTATGGAATAGCGAGTTAGAATCGGGGTAAGTGAAATATATTGTTTTGTGAGTGATATTTAAATATTTCATGACAAGATATTAATCCTAATGATTCATACAGATATTCTGTAATATCAATGGGAAATCA